GGGGGGGGGCTGGGGAGGTCAGGGTTTCGTGGAACGAGGGTTGAAATTTATTCTTACTTGTGATATCGTAGCAATACAGCAGAAGTACGATACCAAGTGGCACCGTGTGAGTTATCGCCTGGTAATGCAAGATTGCAACACTCGCTATCACTTGATAAGGTTTCACTGGAAACAGCTAGACATTTCTGATCGTCCTTGGAACTCTCTTGTGGTTGGTCATAATTCACAGAGGAGTCAGTGCTAGGAGGAGTGGAAGACTCCTTTCCAGTTGCATGTTTTGTTAAACCTGGAATATTTTCTTTATCAACCTGATGTTGTGGTGGATTTCTCCATAGTGTGAAAACACAGTTGAAATCATCAAACCCTCTACCCATAATTCCTTTTGGGGTGTGAGCCAGGTCAAAACAGTGGCCCAGTTCATGCATTGATGCGCCCAGTCCTGTGGCATAGTTGGCCCAGTAAAAACCTCTGTTGAACATGCAAATGATAATATTAATAATTAATACTGGTTTTCTGTGACAAATAAGACTGCAACATGGCAATTCAGGAAACAAGTGAGGCTTAGTTGATGGGCAATTGAAGAAGCAAATGGGGCTTAGTTGGTGAGTAATATTCAAGAAGCAAGAAAAGCTTATTTGGCGAGTTACCAATAATGCTGAATGTCAGCAATAACCCTTTTTTGTCCATGCAGTCACATTTGTTTGCCTAATGCTCTATTTTCAAGTCAAAGCTGAAACCAAACTAAACACAAACCTTCGGCAGCTATCATCAAACAAACACCTCCTGTCAACCTTCTTTGAGTTTGTGAAACACGATACCAGATCATCAACATTATCTGCCCATGTATGGAGCCCACCAGTTCCAAATAAGGCAAGATGGCCACCTCCAAGTGCAGTATGAGCCTTTACGTACAAATGAACGTCCTTTTCATCAAATTCTTCAGGTGGTGGAGGGTCATAATGTGTGCAACTCATAAATGTCCAGAACTTGCACAATGGGTCATACAAATTAGAGTCTGTTAGCTCTGAAATAAAGGAGTTAATAGAGTTCTGTTTATAAAATGGGATCGACTTTTCAGGTTAAGTTGACAGGGGTGGATCCAGGGGTGAAGAAGGATGTGGCTAGCCACTCCCCCCAGTTTGCTCAAATGTCTCAGCGTTATCCTGAGTAAGCCATCCCTACTTTTCCTTGCATTCCTTAAAATATTTGTAAATTCCTTGATCTGCTACTGGTAGATGCTCTGTTGAATAGCCTGGTCAATTGATTGTCTGATCTCTTTTTAGTAGCCAGTTAGACAATTCCCTAGGGTGACTGCTCTATCAATTTGACTTTAATCAATTCAAAGGACTTAAAAAGGTTTTTCTGCATTACCAAGCATCAGTAGTGAAAGTGAGCAGGGAGATAAACTCCTTCCATCCCTAATTCCTCCATCCTTAGACCCTTTAGGCCAGCAAAAACAAATGCTTATATATGATATAAGATGATAATAGTGTTAAATTGCATGGAATTCATAAACTTACCTTTAGAAAACTGGCTATAAAGCTCTCCTCCATTCATTTTCAATGCCTCTTCAGTTGTCAAAGAAGTTGTGAAGACATGAATTAGTGGTTCTCCTTCAGAGTTTTCTTCCAATCTGAATGTTCTGTGGCCAAAACCATGTTTATACAAGTCTTGTGCTGTGAATGTCTGCAACAATCTTGAATTGAATGCAAGCTTTTTTTGTGCAACTTCTATGTTGTTAGCCACTTCTGGAGGTGCTTCAAAACTTCCATCTGAATCCACGCATTTCACATAGACAACCCGAACAAACCTTCAATTAGAGAAAATCACAAATATTGTTATAAAAATGTGAATATTAATTACCTTGGGAATCATCTTAAAACTATCTGTTTATGTACTTTCATTTAAATCAATATTATATCTATGATAAATATAAAGTACCTTGGCAAAGTTGAAGGTTTGTAGACCAAATGGAAGTCTTTCTGTATTTGACGCTTTTCACTCATAGATGCTTTGATTCTAAGATTATTATCCCCTGGAACAAGCTTTAAAAGTACTTTAAATGCTCCTCGTATTACAGGCCAAGACACACACTCATCCCGAGTTTCAACTAAAACTTGAACTACTTTTCCATGATTCTCCAGCAACTGGTTGTCATCCCTCGGAAAGGAAACTTCTTTTTCTCCAAATTCTCCATCGAATTTTGAGTTATTTTTAAATTGGCATTCTAGAAGAACGAAAGGATAGTCGATTGTTTCTCCGTCTGAGTAATTTAAAACCTCTATTTCGCACGAATTATTCTTTGTGGAGTCCTTTAAGCTACAACCTTTCTCCATTTCAATATTATTAAGAATTCGGACTCGTCCCACCAACTTGTAAAAGATTTTTGTGACGGATCAAGATTCCCAGATTTCATTCCCTGAATGTGACGTGTTTACGACTACGTATCAGAACACATCGTGGCAAGTAAACTTTTTTTTTGTTTCTAAGGAAACCTATTTTTTGGACAAGAAGAATTTTTTTTCCGTATTTTTCATTAAAAACACGAAAACCACAAGGCGTTGCTAACAGTGGTAAAACATGACCGTTCGTTCCCAGTTCTCTCGTATATCACGTGATTCTTAGTTTATTCTTCATTTATCCTCCATTTTGGCGCTGAAAACAGCCGCCAGAAATTATTTCTTTTCTCTAAATTTTCCTCGGATAAGCGTCCCTGGTTGGGACTCTTGAGGCGGTATACGAGGGACAAGTGTTCCTTGTTCTTTCGAGTCTATTTTTACTTCATTTTTTCTACCTCCAAAACCTATTTTTACTGCTACAAAAACACAAAAATAGTCGTCGTATTTTCCATTATGGCTGCTCAATACTTGTAAATTGTTAGCCATGATTTGTATGTCAGAGTCAAACCAAGTCGTATCTCCACTCGGAGTGAACGCCAGTTGGCTTTCCTTTAATTTTCAAAGAGCTCAGTCGTATTCTGAGCGTGTTTTCGTGAATGAGCGAAGAGTTGAAGGGGCAAATGGAGCGACGAACAGCACAACAAGGTGTTGTTCCCGCTTCGCCATCAACGAGAAGTACTTCGGTGTCTGGTAAAGAAACAGGTAAATCTTTTAAGCGTGAAATTGGTTTTCAATATTGATAGTACTACAGAATTTTCCATAGTAAATAACGTTTTTATTGACTCAAAAGAATAACCTATTAGTGACTTTTTGTACATGTACTTTAATATTATGTACATTGGAATGAATTGAAGAAACGAGTTTTTTTTTTCGCCAGGATTTGGTCGTTGTGTTTGATGCCATTCATTAATTTTTTTTATTAGGTTTTTTCCTCCTCTTAAATATAAACGAAATTTTAGAGGAAAATTAAAGATATCAATGGATTTGTATGTTTGCCTTTCTCTCTTTATTCTTATTCTTTACATATATTTAAACTCTAGAGGAAAAATAAATGTCAAAATATCAATGGATTTGTGTTCTTTAACAGTTAGAAGCAAGCAATGGAGAGGACCCAGAAGGGGTCAAATGGGTGGACAGTACCCAGACCAGGGTAACAGATGGTACCCCAAACCTAGAAGTAGCAATGAAAGGAGAAACCCTCAGCAGCAGTATCGCAGGGCGACCCAGGACAAGAGGCCAAATCCAAGGGCAGGGTATCAGAATGTTGACAATAGAAACAACAACGTAAGTGCAACACACTAGTATACTACTCTCATACTGACCCTCAAAATTAGTTTTAGCTTGGAAAATCTTGTTTCATGCTTAATGCTACTGTCCAGAATGACTAGCAAGGAAAATATTTGACTGAGTAACTTCAAATAAATTCTAGGTGGACATTGTCCCATGACCAGCCATTATTTTAAGTATCTTATGGACCTATATCAGGTGGCACCCCTGTTTATTCTAATGAGAATAAAATCTTTGTTTAACCTGTATAAATTTATTCTTGAGCACTTGAATATGRGGCTATGCATGGTGGAATCTATCATTTAAACCAACGTGGCTACCACATGAAAAAGGCCAATTCTGAATGGCATGTAGACTGAAATGGGAAAATGTTATGTCCCAGCTGTGCCGGCTAAGAAAATGTTTATTAATGATGTCTCCACCCTAGATTGGTGATATTGACTTGGCAGTCGACCTCCAGTCAGCACAGGAATCATCAAGTTCAAAGAAGAACAGCAATTCTTTGAATTACCTGCTGAATTTCAAGTATGCTCCAAGAGAAAGAATGATTGAGCAGCGAGCAAGATCCAATAGTAAGAGACACAACAGCTTCAACAAGGAAAGATTTCTTCAGGCAAAGTAATTATCAGTCACAAAATATTTGCTTAGAGCTGATTTCATGCAGAAAAAAAGGCTTATCATGTACATTTATTTATTTTTACCCATTTATGTCAGTTGAATGTCTGTGATGGTAAATTATAGAGTGAGAAATGCATTTTTTTTTGTAGTTGTCAGTTTGTAGTAAGTGACTCCGCAGACTACACTGTTTATGCTGTTGAACCAGATATTCTCGTGGATTGGTCTCTCATAGAACAAGTGGTAAGTGGTTTCTCTTCTATGAGAAATGTGCCAATTGATGGGTTACCTGTGTTATTTCAGACACAGGCAGCCCACATGCCAAAAGCAATATTTTACATTATATTTATGTAGTGTAATAACAGCGATCAATTTCAAGCATTTTGATTGGATGTCAAGTAGTAATCATTTAGTAAAACTGAATACATGATATTTTCATCATGGTTTCAGCGGATATTCAGCCATGAAGTCTCTTCCTGTCCCATTTGTTTGTATCCACCAACTGCAGGTATATGATATTAATTATCTATAGATTAACTAAAACTTTATTATAGATAAATTTATCATTTTGTTGCTTGCTAAAAGGGGAACTCTAGAGCAAATCAGAGTATCTGATAGGAATCGYGCCTTCCAGATGCCGGTCGGATGCTATACCACCGAACTATAGGAAAGACACTCATAATGAGCAGACATTTACTGGGTTCATTTACTGGTTATATTTACTTATAATCTTTAGTTGACAATAAATAGAATCTTAAGTTGACAATGAAGTATTTTATGTGATTGTGTTATAGCTAAGATTACCCGCTGTGGACATGTCTATTGTTGGTCATGCATACTACACTATTTATCACTGGTAAGAGAGTTATTTCTAATTATATTTATGTAAGAATTGTTTGTGGATATTTATAAAAGGATGTTTGTTTTTCCCCAGAGTGAAAAGTCATGGCACAAGTGTCCTATTTGCTTTGAATCCATCAATAAAAAGGATTTAAAGAGGTATATTTTCATCATCTAATAGCAGGTTGAATTTGTTTTTTCATTGCCATCAATCAAATTGAACTAGTTGGTACCATTTACATTCTTGATTGGGGACAGTGAAAGACCAAATTCAAATAGGCAACTTGAAAATACTGGGTTCCTGTAGTATTGAAAATTGCAATAATATGATATGTATATTCGAAATGGAATTATGGCTTGTTAAATGTGACCATCATAACAATCTTTTTTCACAGTGTTATTGCCATGGAAAGCCATTGTTTTGCTGTAGGACAGACAATAACAATGAGGCTTATGAAGAAAATGAAGGTACAGCAAACTCTATATTCTCTTGATAACTGTAGAGTACTTGGAAAACAAGAGTTACTCTTTGTTTGCTACACCAAATGTTTCTAAATTTAGAGCATTAGTTAAAAGACATTTCCTTGGTAAAAAGTTACCTAATGATTTCCATATCATTACTTTGTTTTATCTATAGAATGCAACCTTGGTTCTACCTAAATCTCAGTGGAAGGAGAGAGAGTTGATACCATTCAACATAAATGGTTTGTAAAATGTTTTTTTTWAAATTTCCATAACTCATTTTCAAAGGAAAGAAATGATCCTAAAGGAGTTGACACTTGGCCATTTTGATTTCTTTAGATTCTGTTGACACCTGTTATTCCAAACTCTTGTTGGCCTCACCTGAGGACGTCTTGCAACAGGTTTGTTATATATTATAGTACTATATTTGGCGTTCTCAAGCAGAACATGAATGTTGAAGGTGATATACTGTAAAAGGATACAGAGCTTCAGAATTTGAATCTTAAATTTGCCAGAGTCATCTTTTTATTCTGATGAAGTGTTCAAAGTCCAAAGCCATGTATATGTGTAGTATTCAGCATACTTTTATCATATCTTTATGCTGAGTTGCACCCATAGTTTTATTCTTATCGCATCTATACCTTTTTTCAATAGGTTATAGAAAAAGAAGAAAGTGCCTTGTCCGTTCAGTACATGGAGGCCAAGATGGAACAGGTTGGTCAAGTGAGGTCTTCTTTATATTGAAGGTTTTTGTTTCTTCTCACATTATTCTTTTTGTCCCTACTTTATATAACTGTCATTAAAATAATATGATTGACAGTGCACTGAAATTGATAACATTCTTTGAACCAATCACAATGGGAGATACAGTCAACTCTCGCCTTGTGGACAGCCTGATATCAACCAATCACAATGGGAGATACAGTCAACTCTCACCTTGTGGACACCCTGATATTACGGACACCTTGCTACTACGGACAGGAGAAAAATCCCCGACAAAACTACTGACAAAGAAATGACCGTAAATGATTTTTGCTATTGCGGACACTCGCTATTACTGACATGAAGTGACGGTCCTGAGGGTGTCCGCTGTAACAAGGGTTGACTATATTACTCCCTAATCCATATACGTCTTTGGAGTTTCTCTCAGTTAGATGAACATTGTCTCTAATAAACTTATTGTAATGTTTTGTCTGCAGTCCTCAGAGCTGTGTTTTATTGAATCTGCCAACCTTGAACTGAAGGTAATTAAATTTGTTTTCTATAGATGTAAAACCATTTTGTCTTTGATAATTTTTTAAAATTTTAAAATGTTTATTTATTTATTTATTTATTTATTTTTTTGTGGCTGATAAGGTTTATGAAATATTATAAACAGTTAAGGACAGTTGCATGGTTTACATCATTTTCTTTGAAATATCTTTTCTAGGCAAGGAAAGATGAGTTGACAAAGAGTATGAAATCTGTCGAAGAAGTAGTGGAATCACTTGAAAGTAGGTTTTCGTAACAACAAAAAATCATATGTTCTTATTACAATGATATAGGAAGGTTCACTCCTACCATCGTTGACAGCATTTATTGAATATTTCAATTGTCATAAAGCTTTTTTATCATTGTCTTAAATTCCATTTTTAATAATAATAATAATAATAATAATAATAGTATCATCATCATCATTATTATTATTGGTATTATTATTATCATTATTATTATCATTATTATTTATAGTGCCATTTCCAAATATAGCGCTTTACAAACTATAGTATTTATTTAGATATGTGTATATTATTTTCAGAAGTTTCCCTACATTCATCTGATGAAGACAGCAGTGGCAGCAAAGAAGAAGAAAATCTGGGATGGAATGTTTACCTGCCAGCAAGCAACTGCATTCAGGTAATTTTATAGGAGAATTAAGGCCACTGATTATTCGTTGGAAAAATTGATGTACATATTAATCAAAAACATGATTAGCAAAGTTTGTATCACTTTCTTGAACTGAATTACTTGATGATTATTGCTATAAAAACTTTTTTATCATCATAGGACGTTGGTGAATATGAAGCTGCATTTTCTGATGATGAAGATGTCAAGAGCAGTGAAGTCCATGATGCTGATCAAAAAACAGACAATCTTGTTGCTAAAGATACAGTAGAATGCAATTCTGATATAATTGAGCAAGCAAGTAATGAGGCTGCTCAGGAAGCCTCCACTCTGACTGCTGTCAAAGAGGGTTGTGAATCCACTAATGAAACTGTTCATGTGGCCTTGAATGGTAATAAGAAACCTTGGCAAGAAAATCAGTATTACTACTTCTACCAAGGTAAAAAATTATTATTACTTTACTTATTTTACTTTACTTGGGTTAATACTTATGTACTAACTAGTTTGGTTTGATTTTCTGCAGCTGAAGATGGCCAAAATATCTTCTTACATCCTATTAATGCAAGGTGCCTGATCAAGGTAAGGCTACCTATCCATCATGGATATTACGGCATATGATTATGCATAGGATAGTATTAAAGAATAAAGTGTACCCAAAATTTGCTGTTAGTAGGATATCATGTATCGAAGGCTGCAAATATTGTTTGATCAGAAGGTCACTCATTTATCAGGCCAGATCATATATGACGTTTCAGAGTTCCATTCAAGGCAAATCATTTACCAATCATTAGTAGTCATGACCAGCACTTAGGGGCCATTTACATGATACTGGAATGAGTTTCGTTCCGGAACAAGTTCTTTCCAGTTGCCATAATATTTCTTTGTATTTGTTTACATGATCCTAGAACAAAATTTTGACTCTGGAAACAGTCATTCTGAAATGAGTTCAACCTGGTTTTCATTCGGGGATGAAATGCTCATTCTACCTTATTTCTCTCCAGAAACATTTTTTAAACAAAACCCTTCTTATGTTTCAGGAGTATGGTAGTCTTGAGAACTGTCCAGAGTACATATCAGCAAAGATTCTAGAAATGGAAGCGATAACCCAGACTGAGGTATACAGCAATAAAAAAGTGGCATAGATTTGTATATTAGATGACTGCCATCTCTACAGTCCATGCTAACTGAAGCTGACTTCTTCATTTTTAATATACGATTATACTATAGGAATCAAGGAAGCGTTATCGTTACCTAAAACATTTGCCATTGACATGTGAGTTTGTCATCTGTGAACTAGAGATTAAGCCTCCTCTGATATCAAGCAACACATTGGAGTGCTTCAAAGGTAATTCTTTATTATCAGATTATTATATTATCATTGAATATTGGATATGCGCTATATAAATGCACTATCATTATTATTATTATTGATTTGATCCTCTGGACCTATCTAAGTCAGAGATTGAATTAGCATTTTGTGTGTTTGGTTTTGTGGAGGGAAGAAAACTTAAATCAATAAGTTACTCATCAAACTCAATTTATAATGTGATGCCGAGTCCAGGAATAAAACCCAAGACACAATCTATGATTCCTGATTGAATGGTTTTTTCTTCTTATTCAGGGGAAATTCAAAAGAGGAAGCAACGAAGGCAAAGAAAAATGAAAGTGGAAAATCGAAGGGAGTCGAAGGTAGATGCAAAAATGGCATCCATTGAAGGAAGGCCAAGTAAGTAAATTGATGAACCAATAGCCCTTTTTAGCATGAGCATGTTTCCCCATAATTCCAGACCATATGTCATGCCCTTGAAAATAAGATTCTTTGTTTGAGTTGTATCCATATTCATTTGTGTGTCTTCTTGTGTGCAACTTTTAAATTTAAATAAAGGAATGATACTCTAGGGAATGACATGTGGTCTGTTGACAAAGATTAAGCAACTTATATTGCATTGCTTCACTTTAGAACTTTATACGGAAATCCCTCACTATGGCCCAACATTGTGATTACTATGTTTATAGATGCACTGTTTTTATTTTCAGGCCAACGCTCAACAGAATCTCTCAATCTGTCAAGTGAAGTAGATTTCCCAACCCAGTCATCACCTACTTTGACTATGGTCATGTCACCTCTTGCTCATCGCCCAGGACCTTTTACTCAGCTTGCTGCTAGTGAATCTTACCATGATGATGGTAATTTAATTTATGTGTTATCTCTCATTATCAGACTTTGAAATTGTGGAGGAAAATGCTGTAGACATTTTAGCAGGAAAAAGAGTCTGTCAAATGTTTTTGCAATATGTCATTTACGCGATCGCGTTATCTTACTACGACTACCTCAATGCTTTGCAAATTTCCTAAATTTCCAATGAAGAAATTGCCTGTTCTAATAAAGGGCCAATATTGTTTGATCTTCAGAAAGTCTTGTAGATGAGGCTGAGGGGATTGCTTCACTAGAGTCCAATGGTTTTTCACCACCATCTTTTGCTCAGGTATGTTCACCTTGTCCTGTCTTGTATATCTACTCTTCCATTTACCATAGAAGTGCCTTTATAATAATTATAAACAAATATTGTTTGCAGGCACTGAGGACAGGTAAGATAGTAGAGTCCAGCAAACCAGTCAGAAGACAAGTACAGGATGCAGGTAAATTTTTGCTGCTCTTCATAGTTCATTTTTATAATAATAAAAAAACAGGATGGGTTATTTTGTTTTAATATGGCAACTATATATTTTTTCAATATGGCAAAACATTCTTAACAAGGGGGGGTGGGGTGGGGTGATAGGTTAGAGCTTGAGTAGGGGGTACAAAAATACAATGGGCAACTCACTTTTGTTTTGCAAAATATTAAAACCTATTGCTGTTTTGTAATCATTCCCAATAAAATGTTAAAGTAACAAAAAACATGGCAGCCCTGTTGGTTGATATGACAAAAGAAAATAATGACAAATTGTTTGTTAAATTCAATCAACATGACGGCAATAAATACCAGCATTTCATAAACGTGGACCTAAAAAATTATAATTATTTAGCTCCTGCAAAGCCTAAAGGAGAAGGATTAGCAGATAATGATAGTGATGAGGACTATCTACCACCTCCTACATATCAGTCTACCTTCTCTGATGCCTTGTCTATTGCTATCAGTCGAGGACTTGAGCAACATCAAGCACAAGGTACTTAAGTCACATCTTCATTACATGAACACATTCTGTTGATTCCTAATCCTTTTCTCAAGGTTCCATGCTGTACAATCCACAAAACCACAGTACAATTACAAAAACAATAGATATTGGTGTTCTGTAAAAAAAATTTGCCCTTTCTTTCCTTTTTTAGCCCTCCCCCCTTCCTTTTCTTTTACTCCTTTTTTCTTCTATCATCCATTTATCCCATTAATTTTAAATTTTATAAACTTTGCCACATAGGCAGGGAAAACACACTGGTCCCATTTACTATAGTTTTTTTTTTCATACATTGTCTCCTTTTCTTTTCTTTTTTAGCCTTCCCTCCCTCCTGTTCTTCTTACCCCTTCTTCTATCATCCATTTATCCCATTCATTTTTCATCTTTTGCATCCTTAAATTCACTATATTTTCATGAGTTTTATTTCATGCATCCTTTCCCTTTCTTATCCTTCTAGCCCTCATTCCTTCCTGTTTTTTACCCCTTTTTGTTCTATTCATTTATTTCATTGATAATTCCATCCATCCATCCATTAACTCTTTCATTTTTTTTCACTCCAGAGGCCAGACAAGCAGGTGCCAGTGTTGGTACAGGGAAGCGTCAGAAGAAATCTAAGAAGAAGCTTCTTTTTACAACAGGGCACATGAAATTCAACTAAAATGTTCATACTTTAATTTGTTTTATCAGCCAACATTAAAACACTAAAAAAAAAGAAAGGGTAGTAGAGCAGAGAAATGAAACACAGTGAGAAGGGTGTAGTAGACCCTAAATGATTTACATAAAACAAAAGTCACATCTACTATCAAAGTTGCTAATAAAGTAATACTCTCATAGCCTAGATGAAAATGGTCAGATATGCAGCATGATAGGTTTTAGGTAGGCTGGAGTAACAGTAAAGGTACAGACACACGGTGCAACATTGCACGCAATGTGCATGCAATTGATGTTGCGAACCATGACACACGACATAATTTGTTGCACGCAACGTTGCTGAAGTAGAAAACTATCCTATTTCAGCAACATTGCCTGCAACATTGCATGTAATGTTGCACCATGTGTCTGTGCCTTTAGAGGTAGGGAGTTCAAGGTTAAGTTAGGTAAGTATGTACTTAAAATATAAGACAGGCAGACAGGAAGTTAGTTAGATTGTAGTATAGCTTTAGATAGGCAAGGTAGGTAGGCTAATCTGATCCACAGGATTACATTATCTCAGCCAGGCATGAAAGCCATGCATAGGAACACAGTATACCTTCAGTCCAAAATAGGCTCTTTTTTACACAACAAATATTTCAACCCCAAACAACTCAATCTCCTAAGTTTCAGGTTCTCTGCTCTATTAGCATGTGTAGGTTTTAATGGTATTTGGTTCGTTAGAAAACAGTAGTGCATGTGCATCATGTACCAGTGTGATTTTGTGGTAATTGACTTTATATACCATTTGAATATTAAATTGAATTGGCTGTAACATTAGTGATGTTAATAAAAAACTCTCAACAGTCACCTTTTAGTGACTTTATGTAGAGCTTACAGTGATTAGATTAGGGGTGTATCCAGGGGACCCTGCTTCACACATTCTCATGCTGTAGAAATCTAAACACCTAAGTAGTCATGATAAGTTTACATTAACGAATTACCGATCAGAAAATACCTCCAAAGCAAAATCCTGGCTATGTCACTGGATTGCATGCTTTTTCGTTAAGTGGTCTAGGGGAACAAACCTCTTGTCAGTGGCCAGCTTAGTCAGATTATTTATTCCCAAGTTTCTCAAAAATGTGGGGGAAATTAGCCCTAAGAATTCATGTATAATTTACTGTTTCTATAGGTTGCTATCAATAGACGTCACTTCCGGTAATAGCTCTTTTTTGATGGCTTGTAGAATCCTGGAGGTTGTTTTGAACTCTTGTTTTCTGGTTTGATGTYGTGAAAATAGTCAAATACAATAGTTTGAGGACTTATTTTGATATGTTTTGACTTAGCATCCGCTAGTTGCCCCCCAGTCAACCACTTGTGATTGATAGTAAGCAATTGCAACGCTTAAAGTCTTTGATCATCTGCTAGGTGTTATTTTCCACACCCTTTCCTTTGCATCTATCCCACGAATACAAAGAGATATAAATATATGGTAAACACTGTTAGGAAAAAGGTTAATCTTTCTGATGTTTTGGAGCTTGAGGAACAGATTAAAAATAAAAAACCTTTATCTGTTAAATTCTTGTTGAATTATTATATACAATTTCACTTCAGCCTTGAGTCACATGAGTAAAAGAAACCTCCCCACCCTGAAATTATTATGCCATTTTGTGCACTTGATCGCCTAGATCATATTCACATATTTAATATTATACCCCAATCTCTATTTCAATTTGAAAGCGCATAATGAGCCTTTTCTTCACGTGCTGAAGGCTGGTCAAGGACCACTTGCACCCTGTACCCTGGTTTGATATTTTGTTGCGACAACGCTGACCCGTAATGTTTGCACAGACCAGTATGGTGTTCCCCAAAGCCTTTACTTACAGTACATCTATCATACATCTGAATGTTGTTGGTGAGATCCATCTCACCCGGGAGGAATGGCCAGTGAAGTAAGCGATCTTCAAAAGAACCTGCTCAGTGCTCTACTGGATAGCGGCATTAGCAGAGATGTCCTCGTCGTCACCATCGACGCGCTTCTTGCACAACGACAAGAAAAAGAAATCGCGAATACAGTCAATCAAGTGGAACAACAATGCAAGCAAGAACCTATGAGCCGTGCGATATTGTTGTCAGAGAGCTGCTCTTCTGGCGGAGAAAGCCCCAGAGATTATTCCCCAAGTGAGGAGATCTCCGAGAGCTCACCAAGTCCCGTGGTAAATCGCGGTTCTGTAGTTGACCATTTACTTCGGTGAGTCAATAATTAAGACTGCACTATGTATGTTTATATTTGTGAATAAATCTCGGTTCATCAGTAAGTCATAATTGACAAATCCAGTCCAAAAATTCCCGGGGCAAAACGAGGTTTATAATAATTCCACTCTTACGCCCATTTGATATTCACTTTTATTGTATGTGGATTATCTTAATCGATTTGATTTCAAAAAAATTGGTCGTTTGTCGTTTGGTTTTATATTGTTGTCAATTTTTGTGCGGTAAAGAGAGGAGGCGTACCCGCTGCTCGTTTACTTATGCGAGTCCCTTGTTTACCACACTGTTACAAATGATCGATCGTCCGAAACAAAGGGAATCCATTCTACTGCTGTTCTAAACTGGTATTCAAATGCTATCAAACTGTGGTGTTTTCTAAGCAGTTCTCTAAAAAACACGTTGGTCCTACCTAGGCAATTTAATCACGTCTTCGGGTCTTCATTCCCCGCTCAATCACGTACTGAGCACCGCCAATAACTAGAGCAACCAAATCGGCCTGATAAATTGCTGTAATCCTTCAAGAACTACTTTGTTTTGCACTGATTTCACGGTTTTTTAATAACCGTAGCATTCATAAGCACAAGACAGTGACACCTCTTTGAATAATGTATGAAACGTATCCGATCGTAATATTGATTCCTGTGTTAATGATTTGCTCACTCGATCATACAGAAACTCGCCATTAAATATTAACTTCTGGCTTAAAGGAAGTCGTCTTGGGCTAACGTATCTGCATATCTTTTTCACTTTCGCTTTTGTGTATGAAATTTTTGAGGAATATACGGCTTAGCGAGGGGGACCACTGAAAGCTTAATGAAGCGCTTGATTTTATAACATGGCGTCACTTTCTCATGTTCAAGATGACGCGATTTCGCTTGGAATCGAAGCGTTTATCGTTGGTAAAAAACGCGCAGAATCGAATCCTCAATAAAAACAATAAACGCTGGCATGATTTTTGTATTTATATTTCCGCCAACACACGGTATTGGGTATTTAGTTTTCGTTTTCTAAGGGGCTGTTTTCTCGTAGCTTCGTGTTCAATTAGGGCTTTCACACTTGGTGTAAGAGTATCATCCATCATCTAAACGTGCATTCCATTGTTGTTGAGTTCGGACATGTTGGCCCATCATCGCACTGATCAATCTGGAGATACTAAACTTCGTGAAAAGAGATGTCAAAATTTTGACATTAGATAATAATTCTTGATTGGGCTTGTAAAATTAATCAATGATAAATTTGATTGGAATATTACTTCAAGTTATTCTTAGAGCTGTGAGACCCAGGGGGTAGGAAGTGGGAGGGACACTAGGATGTCACATGAGCTTTATATATTCCATATTTCATGTTTTGAAGTTTTAGGGGAGTGGGGAGGGGATATTTATTGCATAGTATAATCCTCTGAGAAATATCACCCTGGGAATTCAAATCCCTTGTGTTTGGAGGATAGAATTACTCTATTAAAATACACAGTGCAAAATGTTTCCATGTGGGAGGGGAGGGATAGGAGATTTACAAACTGTATTATGTTTTCCCCATTATGTGGACCCTGATTGTTTTGATTTGATTTTTAGTTCCTAGATTTGTGCAGATTGCGAGGGAGGGTTATCAAGGGACGGACGGGGTTGAAGGATTTATAGCTCTCTATAATCAACCTTGATCAAAGAAAAAAGAACCTTATCCTGGGGTCCAGAGGTTATTTATTCTCTCTGCTGTTTGCTGTTTTGATGGGAAGTTGTGAGGAGAAATAACCTCTGGGCGCATCTGCCAAGAATCTAACTTTAATGTCCTTGAGAGAAGTTTAACGATGCAAGTTTTTAGGAAGGGAGGAGGGGTGGGTATGGAATTGAGCAGAGAGGCTGATCATTCCATCTCTAAATACAAGCTCATAGCTCCCTTTATTCTTGCCAGCCTTTCTTTTTTTTAAATCAAATTAATATTTTTATTTTTTTATTTAATCTTTTTTATTTATTTTTTCATTTTTTTGCACTTAACAATGATTATTACAAAATCATTCCATGCTTCTTATCTGATGTCAAAGAAAAATGATAAAAGCCATCAAAATTTTTGTAGCGACAAGATTGAACATATATGTATTATTGGTACTTATGCTTGACGTGATCTTTACTCCAGAATGGATCCATGGCAAGCAGCACGGGTGATAAAATCCTACATGCAGCAACACAATATTCCTCAGAGAGAGACAGTCGAATCAACAGGATTGAATCAGAGTCATCTATCGCAGCACCTCAATAAGGGAACACCAATGAAAAGCCAAAAGAGAGCCATATTATACAGCTGGTTTGAAGTAAAACAGAAAGAAATTGCACGGCGTAAGTCTTAATAATAATATTAGGGACTAGTCATTATTTATCGAGAGGGGGGGGGGGGCTGGTGCAATATTAAATATGCTTTGCTTGATTTTTGCTGACCCCCCCTTCTCCTTAAACCCAATTCAATCTGTGAGTTAGCTGTGACCTGACTTTGATCAGCCCTGAGGCTGTTTCATGGTATTCGAATTATAGAATTTGAAGGTTTTTTAAAACAACAAATCTGCAAGAGGATTTAAGAACTGCAACTTAATTGGAAAGGGAGAAGGGAATAAGAGAATTTTTGCACTCAAGGCATTATATTTTCACTGCTGCTTCAAGTTGCAAAATTTATAGATATATAATCATAATACTGCACAGAAGAAAACATTTTCCCTTAGGGAAAGAAATTTAGAGAAAAAAGGATTTTGTTTTCTTCTATATTATGATTATATGTCTATAAATTTTGCAACTTGAAGACCCTGCTAGAGTACAAACACTAAAAGTGTGCAACACTTTGCACTATTTAGTAGTAAATAGTGCAAATTAAACAATAGAAAACAATAGGATTAGCATTATTTAGCAGTATTTAGTGGTATTTATGTTACACACTTATAGTGTTTGTACTCTA